GTCATTTGCCAATCCTGGGAGACTGGGCAGGTGTTCTGGCAGCTTAGCAGAGGAAAGGGTTTTATTATTGAACTGGAATAGAGGTCAACAGAAAATATCCGGACTGAATGTGGAGGGGAAAAAAAGAATAAAAATACAGAAAATAGCATGAGAGACATGGAACACGGGGGGGAAAAAGGCTCATGTGTGTAACTGAAGTCTTTGAAAGAGTGGAGAGAATGGACAAATTCAAAGAAAATCCCACGCAGGCACATCGTGGCAAAACCATCGAGGCAAAGGAAAAACCTTGTAAAGGGCCAGAGGAAAAAAGTCACATTCCCTTCAGAGGAGCAACAGACTTTCAGCAGAAAGAATGGAATCTGGAAATACATGTTTAAAGTGCTGGAAGAAAATACCTGCCAACTTAGGGTTTTACACCCAGTGAAAATACTTTTTGAATGTGAGGCAAAATAAAGATGTTTTCAGAAAACAAAAAAGGACAGAATTCATCACCAGCAGACCTATGTCAAAAAAATATATATATATATATGAAATGAAAGGGGGTTTGTTGGACAGCAAGAAAGACTGAAAAAGAGTTGGAAGATGGGGTAAGAGCTACATAATGGGTGACTATGGAGAAGAGCATGGAGGTTCCTTAAAAAACTAAAAATAGAGCTACCATATGATCCAGCAATCCCACTCCTGGGCATATATGCAGACAAAACTCTAATTCGAAAAGATCCATGCACCCCAATGTTTATAGCAGCACTATTCACAATAGCCTAGACATGGAAACCACCCAAATGTACATCAACAGGTGAATGGATAAAGAAGATGTGGTATATATATCAATGGAATATTACTCGGCCATAAAAAAGAATGAAATAATGCCATTTGCAGCAACATGGACGGACCTAGAGATGATCCTACTAAGTGAAGTAAGTCAGACAGAGAAAAACAAATTATCATATGAAATCGCTTATGTGAGGAATCTAAAAAAATGATACAAACGAACTTATTTACAAAACAGAAACAGACTCACAGACATAGAAAACAAACTTATGGCTACCAAAGGGGAAAGGGGGTGGGGGAGGGATAATTTAGGAGTTTGGGGTTAACAGATACACACTACTATATATAGACTAGATAACCAACAGGGCCCACTGTATAGCATAGGGAACTCTAAACATCTTGTAATAACCTATAAGGGAAAAGAATCTGAAAAAGAATATATATATATGAATCACGTTGCTGTACACCTGAAACTAACACAACATTGTAAATCAACTATACTTCAATAAAAAATAAATATTAAAAATTTATATATAATCAAAAAAAAAAAGCAAGAATGCAGATACCTCAAGAGGAATATGGGCTGTGCAACCCTGTAAGAGCAACGTCTGGCGGGGTGTTAAATAAAGAGATAAAGTGTGTGCCAGACACAGTGACACAGAAGGCAGGAGGGGCAATGAGCTGACAGGGGCTGAAAGACCCTCCAGGTCAGTGGTAGAGGGACTCGTTTGTCTTGGGCCGTAAGAGGGCAGGGGTGGACAGGGCGTCGCAAACACGGACTCCACAAGAGTAAGGAAAGAGCCTCCACAGCACAAGCTGGTAGAGGGGAAGTTTGGGTAATAAAAATATTCACTAATAAGAGAAAAGGTGATGAGAACAAGGCTGGGGGAATGACCCCACATGCGCTGAAACCTTGCTGGTGGGGCCCCACTTCCCCTCCTGCTCAGGAGAGGGTGCTGGGAACCAGACTTGGGGGATTTCGCTTATTTGATCCTCCCCCAGGTACCAGCATGGAGCTGTTCGAAACATCACTGAGTTTTGATGATTTGAGTTTGAGAGGCATTTGTGTTTAGGAAAGACTCTGCTTTTTAAAATTAAGGTTTGGTTTCTGAAAGCTACAGATTCAAAAACTTAGCCTAATAGTTTACGTTTGGCATACAGATCTTGTTTTTCTATTCATAAGACCTGCAAATATATATATATATTTTTTTTGTGGTACACGGGCCTCTCACTGTTGTGGCCCCTCACATTGCGGAGCGCAGGCTCTGGACACGCAGGCTCAGTGGCCATGGCTCACAGGCCCAGCCGCTCCGCGGCATGTGGGATCTTTCCGGACCGGGGCACGAGCCTGTGTCCCCTGCATCGGCAGGCGGACTCTCAACCACTGCGCCAGCAGGGAAGCCCAAGACCTGCAAATCTTAACAGTTGCTTTTAAGGGTCTTTGAATACGACAAATCTAATTCATTAAACTTTCAAAACTTTGAATGGTGATAATAAGTGTAATATATTCAATTCCTTCTTGGGCATTTCAAAAGCCTAGTGGACAAAACCTTCTTAGTACTAATTAATTTTTAGAAATCTAATGATTTCACTTAGAAATGCAATGAGCCCAGAGTTTCTTACATATTCCAATACTGTGTATAAATGCACCAAGCTTTCCAGATAACGTTACAAGACTAAGTCAATTAGTTAATGACATATTTAACTTCGGATTTATGAGGCTTTCTTTACAATAGGCCAACTTCTTTAAACATTATGAGATACCAAACCTATCCAGATTTCTTAGTATAAAAGTCATAATTCTATGGCTTTTAGTATATGAATCATTTCTAGACTTATAATCTTCCTGGGTTTATAAGATGCTTACCTACTGAGGAAGAAAAGTGCAGTTTCAACTAGCAGACTTTACTTCTGTTGAGAGACTGTGGCCAGGACCTGGTGGGGTCTGGTCAATCCCAGGTGGGCTTCAGGGACCTCTCCTCAGTTACTGAGTCAATGACCGTGGACGTCAGGAAAAGATGTGCATGTTGCTCACATCCCTGGATCATGGGTGTGCCCTCTCTTTAAAAATGGTTATAAAATTGTGAACGTAACATGTACACAAAAGTCTATAAAATGAAAAGTGTAGTCTAGGTATTTTTATTACCGTGTGGCCCACATGCTTGTCATCACCACCCAGAACCCCAAAGGCCATCTGTGTCCCTTCCCAGGGACCACCCCATTCCACTCCAAGTGCAACCACTTTCCTGTTTTCCTGGTATATGTTTACCACCTAAGTAGGCATCCGAAACACGGCAGGTCATTTTTGCTTAGAAAACAGTTTTGTACAAGGTGAAGCCAGCAATACATACTCTCTTGAATCCAGCTTTCTCCGCCAGCTGCTGCGCTGTGCTCTGTCCGTCCTGCGTGTGGCCGTAGCTGTCCAGTTAGCACTGCTGCGTGGCTTTCTAGTGCGTGACTACCTTTGCATTGCTATCTGCCTTCTTCCTGACCGGCCTTTGGGTGGATGACAGGGTTTGGCTGCTGTGAAGAGCTTGGCTATGGATATTCTTGAAATGGCCCCTGGGGCACACAACAGTTATTTCCACGTCAGGCAGTGGAATTGCCAGGTTATGGGAATGCGTGTCTTCTACTCTAAGAGTTGATGTCAAACACTTTTCCAAGTTAGTGGCATCAATTCGCATTGCTACCAGCAGTATATGAAACCCCCCTTACCCCGCAGCGTCTCTGACATTTAGTGCTGTCAGGGTTTCACATTGTAGCGGTCCCGATGAGTGTGTAATAGCATCTCGTTTCGGTTATAATTTGCATTTTGCTGAGAACCAACAAAATAGAGAAGCTTTTTATAAATGTATTGGTCCTATGGATATCAGTTTTTGTGGAGTGTCTGTTCGAACCTCTTAACCACTTCTTACTGAGCGATTGGTAGGAGTTCTTTAAATATTCTTGGTATGAGACCATGATATTTTTTAATAGGCTGTGGTAGGCAGAATAATGTTTCCCCTGCTAAAGATTTCCTGCCCTAATCCCCAGAACTGGTGAGTATGTCACCTTACGTGGCAAAAGGGACTTGGCAGATGTGGTTAATCTAAAGATCTTGTGATGGGGAGATGGTCCTGGGATACCCAGGTGGGCCCAGTCGAATCACGTGAGTCCTTCAGAGAACCCGTTCTGGCTATACCCAGAGGGAGATGGGACCAAGAAAGCAGGGTCGGAGTGATGCGCTGTCGCTACTTTGAAGATGGAGAAGGGGCCATGAACCAAGGAATGCCAGGGACCTCCAGAAGCTGGAAAAGGTCAGAAAACAGACCCTCCCCTGGAGCCTCCAGAAGGAACCAGCGCTGCTGACAACTTGCTTCTAGCCCAGTCATACCCACGTCGGACTTCTAACCAGCAGAACTTCCTTTGTTCTTAAGCCACTAAATTGTTGTTAATGAGTAGAGACAGCAGTAGAAAACTAATAACCTACGTGTGACCAAGGGATTCTATCCCTCTGTGACTCCCCTTTTATTTCCTACAGTGTCCTTTGATAAACAGAAGCTTTTGATTTGATGGGGTTGAATCCATCAATCTTTTCCTTTATGCCTGGTGTTTCTGAGGTCCCAGTTAAGAAACCTCTCCCCGGCCCGAGAGACTGAGAAAACTCTCCTTTACCATCTCCCGTCAGGCTGTTCGGCTTTGCACACCGAGGTCTACAATCGCCCTGAAGCCAAGGACTGTGCGGCGTGAGGCCGGGCCCCTCGGGGTTTTGTATGGCATGTGGACAGCCAGCTGCCCTTGCTCCGCTGGGTGGACGCAGCCCTCCCTGTGGATCTGTGTTTGGTGTTTCAGCTGCTTTCCAGGGAAGCTGGCCCAGAGCATTGATTGAAAGCGGAAAGGTCCCTATTTAACTCCTTCCCCCCCTTTTTAATGAGAGTTTTCTAGTCTCAGAGTGACCTGTTTAAAGATGAATGAAGATGCCGTGACCAATATCAGGAAGAAGCAGGTGACTTTGGGTGAGGGAGGGGACATCCCCCCCAACCCGTCGATGAAGTTAAGTGGGAGCTTAAGGCTGGGGGCTGATGCTCTGTGGAACAGCCACTTGCCCTCTAGGAACATCAGTGGTTGCATCTGCTAAATGGGCTCCCTAACTCTCCCTGACTCGACCACAGCCCCTGCTGTGGATGGGCTCTGGGAAAAATACTCAAAACAGCTGATGTTCGAAGACGCAAATGAAAACTGGGAGGATATCTGCCAGAAAGCAAACAGTTTTAAAACGTGATCCTTCTTCTGGTGAGGCTGTGGGGCACGAGGGTTCGGACCCTTTGATGAGAGAGAAGGGGCTGGGCAAGCAGGTCTTGTTCAGCAAAGGGGCGGCGGGGGAGCATGTGTGCTGGCCTTCGCTGGGGACTGAGTGGGGTTTTGGGAGGCCGCAGGCAGGGGGCCCAGGGAGGCGTGGGGTCGGGCTGCGGGCCCGCGCACCTAGGTGAGCCGCACCTTCATCGTGGTTGCCTTGTAGCTGTAGTTGTACCCTCTCCACGACCTCCAGTTGACACCATTGGCATAGCTCGTGTGCGGCCCCCCGAGGTAGCGGCCGTTCAGGTTGGATGAGTGACAACTGTTGTACCACCAGGCCCCCTGGTACTGCACTGCACAGTTAGAGGAACTCTGGTCATTGTCTTGGTCTTTGGTGGAGAAGAACTGGTCCTTGTGGGGCGTCAGGGAATCACCTGCTCAGGAGGGAGTGTGGGTATTGCTCGGGCTAGAGGGAGCCTGCCCTGCCGCCTGCCCATCGCCACCTCCCTCTAGAGACGTGTGAGCTGACCCCCAGGGCGTCAAGATCCTGCCTCACCCTGGGGCAGATGGAGCCACCTGGTCCAGGAGCTCTGCCCCAGGGCGCATGCCTCACTCCTCCAGCCTCACCTGTTTCCTCCCGGCTCCCCCAAGACCACCAGGACCCGCGCCGTCCTCTCCCCTGAGGTGCCCTCCCTTCCCGAGCCTGCATCGCTTTTCTGGGCTTCATACCCACTCCCTGGGTTGCACGGACATCCCAGAGGGACAGCACAGCCTCATCCCGGGGCCCCCTGCTCCATTTTCAGCCCTGGGTGTGCAACTCACCCCAGTTCCTGTAGCACCCCACTGCCCTTCTCACCCCTGCCAGACCCTCAGCTGTACCACCTGCAGCATGGAGAGGAGGATCCCTGCCCTTCTCCTTCCCTGGAGGCTCAGAGGAGGCACGTGTGTCAAAGGGGTGCTTGAAGGCTCCCATTAGCAATACTCCCCCCCCCACGCCCCAGGAGGACCTTGCTCTCTGCAGCTCTGGTTCAACACAAGCAGACAGGCTCCTAGCACCTTTCCTGAAAGAGTGCACACTGGTAATTCTCAAGAGGATGTGCCATAAGAGATACCTCCCCACATCCTGTGACCGGGGTGTCTTTTTGGCAAAGAACATCCCACAGGGTTTGTGTTCCATGGAGCCCAGTTTGGGAATATGGCTCTAAGGGCTGATGTGAAATGACCGTACTCTTCCAGGTGTTAGCAGGGAAAGGGGTCAGTGACCTCAAGCCCCACTCAGAACAGCTCACTGCTCTGCAGACACAGCCTTGGGAGCCGTAACTGATGGCGTCACTTGTCCCCATGCTACAAAGAGACTCAGGTACCTTCGTGTCTGCATTCAAAGACAGAGAACCTGGACCCAGGGAGCGGAGCCCCAGCCCAGGATCACTCACGGGAGACAGAGCCAGGACGCTAAGCAGGTCCTCTCTACTTCCCCAAACCCCGCGCTGAAGCCCAGGCCACGGCTGTGCCCCGCGCGGACTCTCACCTGCACTGCCCCCGACAAAGGCTCCCAGGACCAGCTTGTACTTCTCTGCCTCAGCCGCCATCTTGAATGACTGGTACTTGGCAAATCGGTGGTTGCCCTCAAAGTCCATGAGGTCTACCCGCAGCTCGCTGCTTCCTGTCGGAGGTGGGTGCTCAGGTCCCAGCAGAAGGGACCCTCTGCCTCCAGGCACGGGGGGTGGGAATGTGGGCTTTAGGGGACGTCTGAACTTGGCATCGGGGACAATTCACCGGGAAGGTGTGAGAGGCTGGGCTGGTGGGAGGACCTCAGGGATGCCTCCCTGTTTTCAAATAGCTCCCCTGCTGTTCCATCAGCCATGCCTGAATTTCCACAGTCAGTGTACCTCGGATGGAATGAAGCCTCGCTCTAGTTTGAAACCCTAAATTCTCCTGCAAATAGCTGTGAATGCCACGGCAGGAAACCTTTGTATGTGTAGTTCCTTCTGCAAGGATTTCAGGGCACATGAGTGGACACCGTCAAGGTTGCCATGAGGGAGTGGAAGAATTAAGAAAGGATTTACCGGTTTGCCGTTGAACTCAGGACCAGCTGTGAAGCTGATTCTGTGGAACGGAGAAGTGGGGTGAGGGGGCCTGCGTGGGGACCGCCACATGCACTGAGCGGGAGAGGCAAGGGAGGGGCTCTGTGGGCCTAAGATCCCAGTTTCAAGGAAGGACCAACCGTTGGAAGTGGGAGAAGGGCCACCCTGATCCAGATGGCCTCCCCCTCACTTCCGACTCTCGGGTTCTAGATACGATCAGTCCCGAGACCGGAAGTCGTCTTCACTCCAATAATCCACCTCCTCCAATTTGAACACTCAGAGAGTGTAAGAGAATACATGTCCTAGGTTCTCAGAGTAATAACCCCTCCTGCTATCACACGTGACCACCCTGGGGGCCAGGAGGAGCGGGGTCCTCTGGTCCACATGGCCCAGGGCTAAGGTCAGGGGCATGTGCATTTCAGGCACCCCACCACAGAGCCCCCGGCTGTGGCCCTACCCTGGGCGGTCAGGGCGTGGATGTTGTCATTCCCCAGCCAGAACTCTCCCAGCTGACTGCCGAAGCCCTGCTTGTATGCGGCCCAGTCCCGGTAGAAGTCCACAGAGCCGTCGCTCCTTCGCTGGAAAACCTGCACACGATGGGGAGGGCTGGGGAGACGGGGCCCCACTGCAGTCCCCCCACAGAGCACCCCTGCCACACGCGGGAGCAGCGCTGGTAGTTCACAGGTATCACAGGCTGAGGACCAGAACGTGGGTCTCATCCAAGAGCCCAGGGGCAGTCAGGGACACCCACATGGGACCAAGGAGGAAACGGAGGCTCAGAGAGGGCAGGCGACAAGCCCAACGCCACACGGCTGGAGAGGAGTGGGCACCTCCGGGCCTGAGCCCACAGCCCTGAGTCACGGGACTCCTTCCCATGGGGGTCCACACCCCCCTCCCCCGACATTTCTGATTCTCCCGACCTCAGTGAAAGGACGGGGTCAGCCTCAGCCTGGAAGGAGTGGACGGTCTCACAAAGGCCACTAAACAGTGATCTGCCGCCAGGTGAGGCTCCCAGGCACGCCCACCCCTGCCCAGGAACCCCACGGCCATCACTGGGTGAACCCCACGGCCATCGCTGTGTCCCCCCCACTCACGGTCCACCCCCCGCCGTCCACGTCCATGTCACACAGCACGGTCAGGGGCCGGCAGTCGGGCAGGTAGATGGTGTGCCAGCCGCTCAGAAAGTGCCCCCTGGTGAGCAGCTCCTTACAGGTCCTAGGTCCTGGGAAGGGAAGCCGGGGAATGGACGCCAGGACAGGAGCTCTGGGCGGGGCAGGGGGGAGGGGGAGGGGGGAGGAGGGAGAGGCAGGGACACCTGCCTGGGGGAGGTGGGCCCTGAGTCCTGGGACAGAGACGCAGCCCCCAAGGCCACCCGGCTGTGACGGCAGGCCCCGTCGACCTGGCCATCCCCACCTCCCAGGGCTGCCCCCGCCTAGTCTCCTGGGCACCTGGCCTCCTCCAGAAATATACTCGAGTTATCCAGGCAATGGCTGCCTATCACTTGGGTAAGTGGGGAGTAAGATATGCTCAGAGAGGGTTTTGTCTTTGGAAGATGGAACCTGAGTCTGTGCAGCTGGCCTTCTATTCGACCCCCCCTCCCCCGCCCCCAGCAGGAGCAGGTCCAGGTGGAGGTCCGGGGGTCGGCGTGTTCGCAGTCACCTGTGGCACAGGAAT